AGAGAGAGAGAGAGAGAGAGAGAGAGAGAGAGAGAGAGAGAGAGAGAGGCAAGATCCTGCTCAAGGTCACACAGAGTGAGGGTACCCTCCCCGGATGCTTTCCTGTTCTCTGCCCACCTAGAATTTCCTCTTGGAACATCCCCTCCTGCCACAAGCCTGCCAGTCCAAGGGAGTGTTGTAAGCGCCCACAGCTTGGCTGTGTCCATGGATGGCTGTCTGCCTGCTCCCACCCACCATGACGGCTGCCCCTGGAGAGACCTTGCTTATCTGTCTTGGCACTGGAGGCACCGGCACCCAGCACCAGCTGGAACAGTCATTCCCCAAATATTTACAGGTGTGTAAATGTTTGTCGATCGTGCTTGATATGAAGTGAATATTCTAAAGGCAGTGGTTCTTGAATGGAACACGCCTCCTCCCCCAGGATCAATGCCTAGAGGCAGTTCTGGTTGGCTCAGCCCGGGGGCACTGGATGGATATAGTGGGCACAGGCCAAGATCTGCTCAACACCCACAGTACCAGAACCTTGCAGAACCTCTGGGCCCCAAACACCAGTGATGTCCAGAGGGGGAACTCTGGTCAAAGGGTAGCCTAGTAACCTTACCTCATCTCAAATATTGAAGACTGTGACTATGATTTCCCTACAGCCCCACCTCTCACCACAGGCTTAACTCTGACCTCAGCCCAACTCTGAACCCTCATTCTGGTGACTCTAGTCCCCAAATAGGGCAATATCATGGCCACACCCTGAGTCCTGGCTATGCCCATACATGAGCCTGATCATGACCACATGTTGAACCTGACCCTGGTCACACTCTGAGTCTTGATCCTTGATACACACTGAGCCCTGATCCTGGTCACTCTTCCTAATCCTGGACACACAGTGAGCTCTGCTTCTGCTCACACAGTGATCCTGACTCTGGTTGCAAGCTGCTCCTTGACCCTACCCACACACTGAGTCTTGATCCTGGTCATACCGTGTGCCATTTCTCTAACCACATATTGAGCAGTGGACTCTACTCACACAGTGAGCCCTGATTCTGCTCACACACTGAGCCTGATTATGGTTACGGTATGAGGCTTGATCTTGGTTACACACGTAGCTCTGAACTTAGCTGCTGGCTAACCCCTGGCCCTTGCCAGTCACACTTAGGGCATGCACTGAATGCAAACTTGTGGCCTGAACTGAGCATGAATCCTCTGGTGGCACACTTCCTGAGAAGGCCTGTCACAAAGTGCATACTCCCTTCAAGGCTCTCCAACTGTGGTGATATTGTATCCCCCAAAATATTGTGCACCCTAGTAAACTTATCTGGGGTCAGAAAACAGAACAGCCACTGGATATAGAGGCCAGAAAATGGTGGCACACACGCCTTTAGTCCTAGCATTCCAGAGGCAGAGATCCATCTGGATCTCTGTGAGTTTAAAGCCACACTGGAAACAGCCAGGCATGGTGACACACGCCTTTAATCCCAGGAAGTGATGGCAGAAAGCAGAAAGGTATATAAGGCATGAGGGACCAGGACTTAGAGCTGGTTAAACTTTTAAGCTTTTGAGCAGCAGTTCAGCTGAGATCCATTTGGATGAGGACACAGAAGCTTCCAGTCTGAGGAAACAGGATCAGCTGAGGAACTGGCGAGGTGAGGAAGCTGTGGCTTGTTCTGCTTCTCTGATCTTCCAGCATTCATCCCAATACCTGGCTCCAGGTTTGTTTTTATTATTCGTGCTACAGTGAATGTGGTCTGGGTGTGACCTTGACGTGACTCACCCTTAGCCTGGCTCCACTGCCTGAGTCTCTAGTTTTTCTTGTTCTCTCTTTTCCTCCACTTCCCACCACAGCCCACCATGTTCCCTGGAGAGCCTGCCCGTTCACATAGCAAAGAAGCCACTGTTCTTTGGGTGTGTATTCGCAAAACTATGCCTTTCCATCAGATCTCTACCTCTTCTTAGGGAGCCATCACAGGGTCCCCTGCTTGGACACAAATCATAGTTGGGTGGAATTGTAATTTTGCACATAGATAGTTTTTAAAAGCAAAGTCACCGTGTGGAATGCAAAAACCCACAACTGACCTCTGTTTATGTCACTGCAGGCCTTAGGAAACATGGTCTCTGAGGTCAGAGGTATGACAGGTGCAACCAGGCCTCCAGGAAGCCTATCCCACTAAGGTCCCTACGTTGGGTCCTGGAAGTCAAAGCCACTCCTTGCAAGCTCTGTGTGTGATATGCTGATGAAGTGGTATGGAAACCTTGCCACGTGAAAGAGTGTGGGTATTGGTCAAATGTACAGTGTGTGTGTCTTGTGAGAGTGAGCACATGTACAAATATGAGTATTGGGGGTACTGTCCTGGAGTACCCCCTGGACAGTGGGCTGGAGGTCTGAAACTCCACAGGCCCTGTTGCATCCTGGGACATGTCCTAGTTTTAATCTCCATGGCCTCTGCTTACTCAGAGGTGATTTTTTTTTCCCCTCAGCATTATTCATGGCTCTGTCTGCAACACCCCCTTCCCCCAGGCTCCCAACTGTCATCAGCTAGCCTTTGCTTTAAATCTCTGAGAAATGTCCCTGTTTGTCTTCACATGCCCACTCCTCCTTAGAGACAAGTCAGTGAGAGAGAGAGAGGCCTGAGCAACCTTGGAAGGCAGAATGGGAGGTTGGTGATTTCTCCACCTGAGTAATGGCCCCCCCTGCTGTCCATGCCTTTTTCAGGCAAAGGCTTGCAGGTAGAGGGACAGTCTTGCAGGGATGATCCGGGGACTTGGAAGATGGCCGAGGTAAGCTAGACCATGATAAGTGATCTGCCAAGACCGACCCTTTCCAAGGCCACTTTAGATATGCCAGGAGGACAAGTCTGGCTGCTGAGGAGGCTGCAATGGTACAAGAGTCACCTCAAGGGCTTAACTATGGATTACTGGGAGGGAGCAGAGGGGACCTCTTGGTGCCAGGTCCAAGAGGACACCAGTCTTCCTCTCTTCCCGAACCCTTCCCCATGGCTAGAGTGAACTCAGTCCTTTAGATGACAACAAGGGCTCTGGAGTCATGCGCCAGGCTCCACTTCCATGCCGAGCCCTACCACTAGGGAAGTGTGTGGTCCCAGGTTCACAAGATGGCAGCAGAGAGCCACACGCAGGAGCAGTACCAGCCATCCCAGGGGAGTCCAGAAAACTGTCAGAAATACTGAGGGTTCTGGGTTCCAGTCACACCACATGCCTGGTATCCTCTGTGACTCAGTTTCCTCCTGCATTCCTCACGCATTTAACTTTATCATGCAGTTCATGACCCAGAACCACCTGCTGCAAGACAATGGCTGTTCCACGCCACTGTTTCAGGACAGGACAGCTCACAGTGCAGCAGCAACGGTTGACAATGAGGGAAGGAAAGAACAGGACCGAGGAGGAGGCAACAGACCACTGGGGCATGGACCAGAGGTCAGGCAGATGGAGCGGGAGGGGAAATCCAAAGGACGGATTCTGGGGGCAGGGCTAACCAGAACCGCTTCACTGGATGTGAGGGAGCGTTCAGAGTGACCCTTAGTGAATGGGAAGGTGGAACTGCCAGGAAGCACTATGTGCACCGGGGGGTGGGGGTGGGGTGGGGGAGGTAAGGGGAGGTGGGTGTGTGGGGGGATTGCCAGGCTGGTCAGGAGGCTCCTGATCTCCATTTCAGAAACATTGTGTTCAAGGTGCATGTGAACAGCTATGTCCAGGTGCTTGGCAAAAGACAGACGTTTGGACATCAGGGGTGGGGGTAGAGTCTGGAAGGAGACATGGATTTGGGAGCCACCCAAACCCCAGGACTGGAGATCCCTAGGGGGTATCAATGGAGGGAGCAAAGGATCCGACAAGAGAGGGTGGGGAAGAGCGGGCAGAGAGTCCTGGGTGCTCAGGCAAGGGTGTGAATTAAGGAGGAGCAAGTTTCCATAACCTGCGTTTCTATGGCACCGTGACAAACTGCCCCAGTGTGGAGGCCTGAAACAACACAATTCCGTTTTCTCACGCTTCTGCAGGCTAGGGTACTGAGATCGGGACGCCACCAGGGCTGTATTCCAAAAGAGGACGTTTCCTGGCCTTTTGGAGCTCCTGTAAGCCTTCCTGTTGCACTTCTTGTTGGTATAGCCTTTCTCCATCTTCAAAACCTAGGGCCCAGCCTCTGTTGTCCCTTCACTGTCTCCATTGCGGTGTCTTCTTTATATTCTTTAGATTCAGGTATGGTTCACATGCAAAAAGGTTCATCTCATCTCAAGGTCTCCCAAAGCCTCCACGCTGCACTACGTTTCAAATCTCGTCATCAAAATCCTCTAAATTGGGCACATTTTGAACTCTAAAGCAAGGGTCCATAGGGATGGGAATTGGGTCCTGGAAACTGGAGAGCCTTGGGAACCTCCCACCACAAGGTGGCGCTGGACTTAGCCTCCCGTCCGTGCTCGCCCGGCCATGGTTCCCAGGACCGGACGCTCAGCTCGGGCTTCCGCTCCTCATGAACGCGCGGCTCCCTCGGGCCTTCGTCGTTCTACGGGCGGTGGAGCTGCCGGGCCAGGGCTGCTCCGTTGTTCAGCCGCGGTGTAGCGAGCTAGGCACCACTGAGAATAGAAGCCTCCCGGTGGTCTAGAGCGTCCCCGGAAGTGGCTCGGGGAAGGCCTCGAGGAGCGGACCGGTGGAGAGCTGCGTGGCCGGCATTTCCGGCCAGTAGTGGCGGCTCGGGGTCCTCAGGTGAGTGGGGTCGGGCCGGGCCGGGGCCGCCGCGAACTGTGCTGGAGGCCGGGCCCACGGAGCTGGACGCGCGTTGTCGTTTCCCCGCCCGGAGCGCCTGGGGACTAGCGGATCCCTTCTCAGGAGTCCCGGGATCGGGTCCCCACGGCTCCCAGGCGCTCCACCAGCACGCAGACCGGGCAAGCTCGGTTGTTCCTCCCCTCGTAGGACCCTTCATCCATCGTCTCTTGCCGGTGTTTTGAGTTTTCTCTCAGTGCGTCGGCCGGGCTGCAGCCCAATGGCAGGTTGTTTCTTAGACCCGTCCTCCAGATGCCTCAGGTCCGACTCGAAGAAATTTGCCTCTTCCCTTAGGAGCTTACATTCCCGCCCCCAGAAAAGTAGTCCATGAAGTCCCCGTTCAAGTGGCCCTGGGTGGTTAGTGCTTCCTTTGAAGTTCCAAGGTTAGAAGCCTCCCGGATTTCTGCAGCCACGTTTAGGAGGTTCTAAGTAGTACAAGATTCAAATTTTCCCTCTCTTCCTCTTTGCCCTTCCTAGAACTTACTGGCTAGCCCAGGCTGGCCCTGTACTCAAAGCAGTTCTGCCTCTGTCTCCCAAGTGCTAAGATGGCAGGTTTCAGCCACCACAGTCAGCTTGGCAAAATTTCATTTCTGAAGTGTGTGTTCAGCCACTTAACCACTCTCTACCCAGGTGCAGGGCAGGCTCCAGGAAAGAGCCATCATGAGCTGGGCCTCCTTCCGGAAGCTTGTCCCTCCCTCAAGTTGCTGCAGAATTCCTCAGCTCCTTGGGTTTGTTATTAAATGTTACCCCCTTGAGAGCAGACTGTGGCCTTGAATTCCTTCTGTCCCACAGCGAGGCGCACACAGCAAATGCTGTACGTGCAGGTGGTATGCACACCACCCTCACTGACTAGAATGGGAGACCCTTGGGGACCAGCGCCAAGTTCTGCAGACCAGGAGGCTGACTTGAGGGAGGAAACGGGGTTACACAGCTGGCTGGTGACAAGCTGGCATTCATTCCCTGTGTATCTTTGGAACTCTGGCACATTTGCATAAATGTGTCTCTTACATTGTGGTCTCAGGTACACTTTTGTGCTGCTCAGGGAAGTAACCCTGTAGCCTTCTGGCTCATCAAATGCATGCTTGGAAGGATCTGCCCAGCTAAGGTTTGGACGGGGGAAGGAGAAGGTCGAGGCCATTAGGAATGTATTGTGACTCTTACCTTTTCCGGACAGTTTTGAAAGTTGCTGGTGCTGCTTGCTCTGTGGTCTGCAAGGATGGACTAGTTAACAGACTGGATAGCAAACCCCAGGCCCAGTGGCACCGATGTTTGAGGTGGCGCTTTCCAGTGACTCTAAGCCCATCTTGATTGTTCTTAGTAACATTTCTTTCTTCCTTCTCTGCTTTCCAGTTCCTGGAGTGTATGGGTAAGACAACGTTGTGAATCCTGGTGAGAAGTATTCCCAGCTCAGAAACCTGGACACTGTTGATGGGGAAAGCTGCCACCTTTTGTCATCTGTGTGAAGGCCCGAGGCTCCAGCTACACCCAGCAGTCCAGGGTAACTCAACCCTGTCACCTCCCCTGAAGAGAACAGCAGTTGACTACACTACTAGGATCTGAGGCCCAAGTGGGCTGGAGCCCCAATACTGAAGGGAAACTGAGGCAAGATACTGCTGTAGGCAGAGAACAGAGCCAAGAATGAACCTGGCTTGAGCCTAGGCTCAGTCCTGTGGGCAGGCAGACAAGAAAGGGAGAGACTGGCCCAGGGAGCCAGAGAAAAACATAGTCAGGGAAGGACAGGCAGAGCCCCAGCCTGGACCCCCTCCTCATGGCCTCCAAGCAAGCTGCAGCCAAGGGCAAGGGGGGGAAGCGGAAGCGAGTGGTGCTGACCCTGAAGGAGAAGATCGACATCTGCACTCGGCTCGAGCGTGGTGAGAGCAGGAAGGCCCTGATGCAGGAGTATAACGTGGGCATGTCCACTCTGTACGACATTAAAGCCCACAAGGCCCAGCTGCTCAGGTTCTTTGCCAGCTCAGACTCTCACCAGGCGCTGGAGCAGCGGCGAACCTTGCACACGCCCAAGCTGGAGCACCTGGACCGAGTGCTGTATGAGTGGTTCCTGGTAAAGCGTGCCGAGGGCATCCCTGTGTCGGGCCCCATGCTCATCGAGAAGGCCAAGGACTTCTACAAGCAGATGCGGCTGACAGAGCCCTGTGTGTTCTCTGGAGGGTGGCTTTGGCGCTTCAAGGCCAGGCATGGCATTAAAAAGTTAGACGCCTCGAGCGAGAAGCAGGTGGCTGACCACCAGGCTGCGGAGCAGTTCTGTGGCTTTTTCAGGAGCCTCGCGGCTGAACATGGGCTGTCTCCCGAGCAGGTGTACAGCGCCGATGAGACGGGTCTGGTCTGGCGGTGCCTGCCAAATTCCACCCCGGATGATGGGCCTGTGCCCCGCTTCAAACAGAGCAAGGACAGACTGACTGTTTTAATGTGTGCCAATGCCACTGGCTCCCACAGAATCAAGCCCTTGGCCATTGGGAAGGGTGGTGGCCCCAAAGCCTTTAGAGGCATCCAGCACCTGCCTATTGCTTACAAGGCCCAGGGTAATGCCTGGGTAGACAAGGAGATTTTCTCAGACTGGTTCCATCATATTTTTGTCCCCTCCGTGCGAGAGCATTTCAGAACCATAGGCTTGCCTGAGGACAGCAAGGCAATTCTCTTGTTGGACCATTCCCGAGCGCATCCCCAGGAGTCCGAGCTGGTGTCTGAGAATGTCTTCACTATCTTCCTGCCTGCCAGTGTGACCTCCTTATTGCAGCCCACAGAGCAAGGCATTCGCAGAGCCTTCATGAGGCTCTTTATTAACCCTCCTGTGGCCTTACAGGGCTTCCCCACCCGGCACAGCATGAACGATGCCATAGTCAATGTGGCCTGTGCCTGGAATGCTCTGCCGAGCCAGGTCTTCAGGCGGGCCTGGAGGAAGCTGTGGCCCACTGTCACATTCCCCGAAGCTTCCTCCTCTGAGGAGGAAGCAGAGTGCTGCAGCATGAAGCCTCACAATAAGACTTTTGCACACATCCTTGAGCTCGTGAAAGAAGGGCCCTCCTGTGCTGGCAGCAGGCTTCAGAACAGCAGGGCTGAAGAGCAGGCTGTGGCGGGGAGGGACATAGAGGAGGCCCCTGCCGTTGGGACACCGTCCCAGGCCACTGGGCTCGCAGAAAAGGCAGAGAAAGATGCTGGTGAGGATGAGGAGGCAGCCTGGGAGCAGGCAGCCACCTCCTTCCAGGCACTTATGCACTTTGCAGAGCGGCAGCCATGTTTTACCATGCAGGAGGTGGGGCAGCTGCAGGCATTGCACACGGTGTTCAGGAGACAGCAGCAGTTGAGGCAGCCCCGCGTGGCTCTCAGGGCTGTGATCAAACTCGAGACCCTTCAGGAGCACCCCGGTGTGTGTCGGGCCACAACCCCCTCCACCTTGCCCTGCTCCTCCGCAGCAGGTGGTAACTGAAGATGTCGGTATCTGCTGACCCCTGCAGCTCGGCTCTGTAGTGTGTGCAGCCGTGGGGCTCAGACTGCGGCTAGGCAGGAGCGCATGCTCGGATGAGAGCAAGCAGGACTGGAGCCCCAGGAGTGTGGCTCCTGTCAGGGTGGCTCCTGGTTCACACAGAGGGCTCCCCGTGTTCTGGCTAGTGGTTTGACTGTGTCTCCTAACACGGGTGGGTATCATTTGAATGGCAGGAGACCTGTGCCCGCCCTCAGCGCTCTGGAGCTCTCCTCGCTGCAGCCGGGTCCAGTGGGCCAGCTCTGCCTCTGGTGTTGGAAGACTGAGCCACGTTAGCAGGTTGAAGTGCCTTGAGGGGTGTACCTCCAGCCCTCAGGAGGCTCTCTTTCTCCCCAACTGGTGAACCCCCAAGCCCAGTCCCGAGGGTACTGGCTTCAGCTCCTGACCTCAGTGCTCACATCCCCCACTAGGCACCATGCCATCCGTCCTCCTGGTCTGAGCCCACCTCAGCCATGGACAGATAAACTCAGTGGTGAGACTCTAGTGTCCCTGTCAGCAGCAGGCCCTACCTCTAGGGGTCAGGTTCCATGGAGACGCTGCATGCTAGTCTTAGCATTGCTCAGAGGCCGACATGTGTCCAGAAGTCCGTGCTCCCCAGAACCTCGAAGTAACAGTTGACCTGGAGCTCAACAGGATAGGCAGGTTAGCAGTAATCCTATGGAAGGTGTCTCTGCACTAGTTGGTTCTGTGGAAGCCAGCTGTCAGAGAACATGACTTTTCCTGACCTTGGAGCTGATGAGCAGCACCGTGGCTACTGTGTCTGTGACTCCCGGTGCCCTTTGTCTGCAGCGGTTAGCTCTCTGTTCTTTCACCATGGCTTTGTCCTTGACCCCTGCTGCCTTTGGGATTCATGTAGCTGAATTGCCACAGTTTTCATTCCAGTGTTCGACAGCTGCTTCACCAGGAGACCTTTGCCTGGGGAACCTCTGAGAGCCAGGGAGGGGGGCTTCAGGAATGTTGGTTTGTGTTTCTATGTCTGTCCAAACACCGAGGAAGGATGCTGCAGACCACTCTAGTTGTGGCTGGATGTTTTGCTTTACCTGCATGTGTGAACATTATAACCGGGTTGTTTTTAGAAGTCTTTGTTGTGATTCTTCGGTCCCTGTTGACAGGAGTCATTGTTCTGTCACACCGCTTGTTCTGTGTGTCCAAGTGACATTTGTATGCTCGTGTGCTGTGTGGTTTCTGGCTGCTATGGGGACTGTTGTGTTACCGTTGTGGCTACTTGAGCAGCTGCAGGTCAGAGGTTGGAAGTCACGATGCCTGCAGCATCAGATGATGGACATGTGGAGGGAAAGTCCCACCCTGGGAGGATGGGGCAGGGCTGGGGGAGCTCCTGGGTCCGTAAGGTGTGTGCCCATGAGACCACACTCCAGGACCAGTGCTGGCTCACCTTGAGAACTTGCTCTTGGTGTTGCCACTTACTAGATTTGTGATGTCTCTTCCCAGGGCACCTTCCAGAACAACCGAGGTGGGCAGGCCCCCTTTGTCTTCAGAGGACCAAATGTTCTGCCTTCCCATTCTCCAGCCATTAGCAGCTAGCTTCCTTGAGGCTTGTGCTAGCGGTGTCTAGGTACAGACTTGGGGAAGGGGTGTCAGTTCCCTGAGAGCATGCATTTCTCTACTGCCTCTCATGTATGCTCTGAGCATGCCCAAGGTACTCCCCCTTAGGACCAGCCTCTTAGAAGCCCGAGCAGTCTAGTGTTTTAGCCTCAGAACCTTTTCCCCAAGCACTCTGAGATGGTAGACCCAGTGTGGCAGATGTAGAGACAGACCTGGCAGGACCTCATTCCCTTTCCCTCTGCCCAGTGGTCACTGAGGCCCTCAGAAAGCCCTGCGTTCTCCAGGGCAGAATGTGCTCTGGTCCCTCTATATACTGTCTGCTTCCTCCTTTGCCTCTCAGATACCTGTGTAGCCCAGGCTGGCTTAGAACTGCAGCGCTGCTTCAGCCTCCTGTGTGCTAGTATCATGGACGTGCACTGCTGTGCTCGGCGCCTTCCGGCTTCCTACCAGGAACCAGGCTGTTGTTCCATTGACAGACCTTGGGCACTGTAGTCAGTTGCCCGGCTGCTCCCTTCCACCAGCAAAGCCTTTTCTCTCTGTGTGTTAGTCAGAGACCCTCCACATCACCTCTCAGAGGTTAGTTTGTCAACTCTAGCACCATGCTTCCAGGAGCCTGGGATGTTGGCAACCCTTGTGTTCTCAACAGGGCCAGAGTAGGACTGCTCCTTCCTCTAGATAGGCACAAGGAGCTGATGCCCACAGTCGTTCCGTGTCCAGCAAGAGATAGATACCATTTCCAGGGTGTGCAGTTTCCTCTTCAAGGGCATGGGTACCATGAGCCCTACCTGGCCCTTTGCAGATATCTGGGGAAGATCATTCTGTTAGCATTTGGTTGGAGAATATTGTCCCTGTTTATGAGGGCCTGGGTAAGACTGTACCCCCTTACCAGTACTTGCTGCTTGGTGGAAGAGCAGAAGCACCCTGATACAGCCCTGTGTGCTGTCTCTACAAAAGTGCATCCACAACAAGACAAGAAGCCTTTGTCCTGTGGGTGGAGGATGGTGAGCAATGGGTGGGCAAGTTGGTGGGTTAACTGGATGAGTGGCTAGAAGAGGCTGCTGCCTTGCCCAGTTACCTAGGTGGAAGCTAGAGTCTATTGGGAAGCAACTTCATGACCAGCCGCACTGAACCTCAGTACCATGTGATCTCAGAAAGAGAAACTGGGAGAGGATCCTGGATGGGGCTGTGATGGCTGCTGTCACCTCCTTTGTTAAGATTGAGTCTGAGGTTAGCTAGAAAAGGACCCTGTGGGAGGGTCCAAATCTGGAATTTGAAGCTGGGATCATCCTCTTGTGAGCCTGGCCCTCAGCAAGAGGATACCCTGAACTTAGCGGGGTTGTGTCGGGGAGATAGTGAGGCTGTGGCCGTGGAGTGAACTGCCCTTAGTCCTGGCTCCAGCTCATTTACATGGTGGCCTTTTGCCAGCTTGTTCCTGCCTGCCTTCAGCCCCACCACCAGAGCACTCCTTGCATCCCCAATGAGTGTCATGCCGTCCTTGATCATGGGACGGTAGGTTTTTAAGTAGGGAATCCAGCTGCAGCCTGGCTGAATCTACCTTGAGATTGTTTTGTTTGTGGTTCCAAGGATGTAACCCCCAGCTCTTACCCCCTGTCGTGTGTTTAATAGCAGAGCGGCTTGAGCTCCAGGGAGGGGAGGTAAGCCAGGGTGTAGTGCCCCATAAGGGGAGCATCCTAAGGCTGGGAAAACATGGGAGCATTTGTGTGATGCGGGGAGGGTATGCCAGGGTCCTAAGGCCTCTTCTGGATGCTTAGCCCTCTGGGTGGGGTTGATTTAGCTCCCTCTGTAGGACTCCTAGGCCAGGGTTATTTTCCCACTAAGTGCCCAGAACCCTGGCTACCTCATGGCCTTGCATCCCTGAGATCACAGCCCCAACCTTCAGCACCATCCTGCCTCTGCTCCCCTAGCCCAGCACCAGCCTGTGGAGGACCTGCCCCTGAGAGATGGGAGAGCGTTCCGAAGCTCACAAAGGACAGGAGGTAGAAAAGACAAAGGTTGCATTCTGTGGCTAGACACATCAATAAAAGGCCTTCTGTGGAACGCAGCAGAAGCACCACCCAATAAAATCGTGTCCCCACCTGCCACCCCTATGGTAGTAAATTCACTGTGTCCTCGGCCCTTGCAGCCCTTCATGCCTGTGTCCCTTGTGATCTCTGAGTCGGGGCAGGCAGCTGCCCAGAGTGCTGAATTGGTTCTCTGTCCTTTCGCTGGGGACAGGCATGTGCCCTGTAGTCTGGGCTTCCTAAGGAAGAAGGCCACAGTGAAGTTTGGGGCTTCTGGGCTGTGGCCTCCTGCAGAAGGATTCCTGGGAATCCATGGGAAGGCTGAAGAAACAGACCAGCTCCCATAGGTACCCAAAATGGTCAGAGAAGTGTGGAGTGGAAGGACAGACGCTAGGGGGCCCTCTCCCTACACGCCACCATCTCTGCACAGAAAGTTTGTGCCCTCTGGGGGGAAGATAGAGACTTTTGCTCACTTCTGTAACATTCCATCCACAAGACCATGTATACAGCTGTGCTAAGAGACTATTAGGATGGACCCATTGGTAACCAGCCCCTGGCTCATTCTTCCAACAGGAACACTCCACAACGTCCCACAGTCCTGCAAGGCTAGGCAGATTTATGCTTGCTGAAGACTGCGCAGACTCCCAAAGCTTCCAGCTCTTCATTTTAGTAGTAATTATCCAAGCAAACCTGAGCATGCAAGAGACTCCCTGAAGCCTTGGTTTGGGCATTCTGCAGCCAGCCACCTACCTGTCCCCCTTCCTGGGAACTCCTGTCCTGGTGAGCATTTAGAAAACACTCCTAACTGAAGGGGTCTGCGGTGTCTGTTTCCTGCAGGCTCTACTATGGCTGCCTGGTCCCTGTATACTCCGTCAGCTCTGTGTCAGGCTCCACACTGTAGCTTGGCCACTATGCCACCCAGCCACAAGGTCATACTGTTAAGCAGCTTCTCTCCTGGTGGGGAAGCCAGGCCCTCAGCTGCTGTTCTGGTCAAGGGCTTCTGAGCTTTTCCTACTAATTGGATTTTATTTGCTGACATTAAGTGGCATGTGGGCTGACAGGCCTAGCTCCTTACTTGATAAATGGGATCAGAATGTCATTGTGAGTCCTTTAAAAGCTTTATAAAGGATAGCTATGCCTGTCACCATGCCCAGTATCTAACCCTGTACCAACCTCTGCAAGCCTCCAGTGTGTCTTCTCTGACCTCCTCTCTCAGTGACCTGAGAGCATCCACATCTACCAGACGTCTTCTGAGGCTTTCTTGCTCCATCCCCTACAATCCTGGAAAGGGTTGGTGCTGATGTTGCTGCAGTAAGGCTGTGGGTCATTTGCATACTGAGTCCATGAAGGGTCTGCTTGGTGAAAAAAATCCAGGAAATTGTGTGGGGTCCCTGTCTATGATCCCCAGGGCAGAAAGGGGAGGCTGATGGGGCCTGGCAGCTGGGAAGCTGGTATTTAATGAGGCTAGAAGTTCTGTTTTGGAAATGGTGATGGCTGAAATGGTGTCTCATGGTATGTGTGACTTAACCAGCCAGATCGAAAGAGGAAGTGTTCACCCTGGAGTCTGGGATGGGCACAGAAAACTTCAGGGCACACCTGGGGCCACCAGGAGTCCTACGATATCAGGAAGAATGCAGGGGTGAAAGGAGACAGTCACTCATGGGAGTTGGAACCACTGCCTGAGAAATCACACAAGGCAGAGAGGGAAGAAATGCCCGCCTGTGCTTCTGTTCCTCACTTCCTGTCTCCCTATAGCTGTGCTCCTTGGCAAGGCTTGTGAGAAGCCATCAAAGAAGGTTGGAAGGGAACATGAAGAGCCAAGGGGAGGGAACACTGAACAAAAGTCACACCATGAGCAAAGGTTGGTCACATGTGTGGGTGCCAATGGCTACACCATCAGAGGTGGCTGGCTTTGTCTCTTCCCTTGAATTTGTGGAGTACCTACTAAGGCTAAAGCCCTGGAGATATTGTGTACATAAGAACATCCACAATGTCCTGGTTACCAAGTCTGAAGGCAACTCGAGAGAGGCCTTAACCCCTTGAGGATTTGCCATGGGTTCAGGGAAAGGCAGGCATCAGTTGCAAATAAGAACCAGAAGTTCACAGAGTGTCAGGCCTCCACTAGCCTAATCGTCTGCCCATCCATCTGTTCACTGATTCACTCATCACCTATACATCCACCCAACCTAATACATGCTCTTCTATGTAGCTACAGTTCTGTCCATCCATCCAACTACATAACACACTCATCCATTCATCTGTCTGCTTGCTTATCTTTCATCATCCAAGCATCATCCATCCATTACCCTCCCATTTATTATCTATCATCCATCCATCATTTATATCTATCCATCCATGTATCATCCAAACATCTTCCATCATCTGTCTATCCATTCATTCGTCTGCACATCCATCATCCATCCATCCATCCATCCATCCATCCATCCATCCATCCATCCATCCATCATCCATCCATCCATCATCCATCCATCTATCCATCTACTTACCTATTCCTCAACCATCCTCAGTATCTATCCATCCATTTACCCATGTGTGCTTATTCACCATCAGTTCATTCATCCATCACCCACCTAATATCCATGTATCATCCAGCCATCTACCCACCCATCCACCTGTCTGCTCATCCACCATCTCTCCATCTACCCAACTGTCTACACTACTTCTACCTACTTGCCCATCTGTCAACTCAGCTACTCAGTTCACCTTCCACCCATTCACTACCTATCAATCTGTGCATCTGACACTGTCGCCCTCATGGAACACCTTGGTATCATTGGTCTATACTTGCCACACTCCTTCCAGGGCTTACTAGATTAGAAATCCTTCCTCCTGTGAACATCTGAGGCCAACATGCCTATCTATACTTAGAAGCAGAGTCCATGGTGTGTCCTTGCCAGTTTGCTCCCTGGGTCCATAATCTGCCAGGCCTTCCTACCTTATGGATGGTGAACAGAGGCCAGAGATGGAGCCTGCAGCCTTGAGTGACCAGTTGAGACCAGCTGAGCTGAGCTGTTGTATTGTATTTGCCGCCTCCTCCTCCTCCTCCTCCTTGTTCTTCCTCCTCTTCCTCTTCTTCCTCCTCCCCCTCCTCCTCTTGCTCTTGCTCTTCCTCTTCCTCTTCCTCTTCCTCTTCCTCTTCCTCTTCCTCTTCCTCTTCTTCTTCTTCTTCTTCTTCTTCTTCTTCTTCTTCTTCTTCTTCTTCTTCTTCTTCCTTCTTTCTTGATCTTGACTATTCCTGTTCCTAGGCATAGGCTGTGATAGACTTACTGCATACTACAAACAAGAGTTTCCTTACTCACTTTGCAGACGGAAAGTCTGAAGCCTGGAGGAGCGGGGTCCCCCATGTCATTTTACATAGGCTCCCACTGTGGAGACAGGCAGCCTCTAAGCCTCCTAAATCATTTTGTAGTCTGCTCATTGCCCCTTGACAGTCACCAGACCAGTGATAGAGTCATACCCCGTCTGAGGGATGGAGATAGGCAGTGGGCCTCAGGATGGGTCTAGGGCCTTTTAGTGAGGACAAGACTAGGCTTACACATCTGGGGTTGATGTCAAGCAGCTCATCTCCCTGGACTACATTTCAGAAACTTTCAGAATTGACTCTGTCCTGGCATTCCCCCCCCCCCACACACACACACAGAGGTGTTGCCCAGGGCAGGCATTAGTGGCTCCTCTGAGGAGGTTCCTGCCATTCAACCACTCCAGAGTCACCACATGGTGGAGGAGTCACCATGGATCTCTACCTCCCTGGTCTGGTTCTCCCATCACCTGTCTGCTGAGCACAAGGCAGGGCTGCAGCCTCTCTTAGAGACTTGGTGATTCTCCATTTTCTTCCTCAGTATTTATTGAGCACTTTCTGTGTGTTAGGTCCCAGCATGGGTACTGGAGTCCCTCAAAGGTCCTGTGATGTGAGAACTGTGGGTCCCAGGCCAGCCGTTGTCTTAGGGACTGATGGTAATGAGGTCTTTGCCCTAGTGACTTCAAGGTCGAGGTCTCCATCCTGGCTCTGTATCCCACTAAGTTTGGGCAAGGTGAGGATGTTTCTCTCTGAGTAGATGATAGAGTAGGGAGGTCTAAGCTTCCAGGGACCTCTGTCATTACCCATGAACTAGGACCAGTAGCCAGCTTGGCTCAGACTGTCTGTCTCCTTCCACCCTTTGCCTGGGGGCAGGCCTGTCAGCCACCTAGAGGCTAGATGTGCCTAGGATGGGGCCAGCTCTGCCAGTCATGCCACAGTGGGTACTGGACCACAGGCCACCAATCACAGTCCTCTTGGCTTTACTTGAAGTGCAGGTCAAAGAGTTTCTCCCACTTTGGAGAGACGAGAGACCAGGCCAGTGGAAAGCAGGAGCTCCAAGCCCCAGGGGTGCAGACCAGCATGGCTTTCACACGGTGCTCTTGCTCTGTTCTCCCCTGGGCCCACACAGGGAGAAGAAAGGATCATTTAGGGGTGGAGAGGATTTGTCCCAAAGGAAGGGACTTGCTGAATGTCCCCAGAAGAACAAGCCCAAGGGATGGGAACACACTGAGCAGAAAGCTCACAGAAGAAGCATTTTGGTTTTTACTGCTTTCCTTCAGGGTTTGAAACAGCTCCCGGTACTCTATGGGTCATAGGCAGAGGAGATGCAGTTACTTCTGGCTGTACCACCCACTGTCCGTCAGCTTTCTGCACCCTCGCCTCCAGCCACTCACCTGCTACCCTGGAGGAAGCAGTTCCCGGACTTCAGCCAGCCTCCTCTTTCTTGTCCTGGGCCACTGGCCTATTGTGGAGATTGCAATCCAGTCCTAGAGTGTCACCTAAATGTAGGGGCTCATGGGAAACATGAGTGGGTGGGTGAGAGAGACCCAGTTTCCCTCTCCTGAGGACCTTGGCTCCCCTACTCCTCCTAGGGAGCAGCGGGAGTCTGGGTAGACAGGGGCCAGCCTCAGAGGCGCTCCTTGCCTTGTCTTCATGTGTCCATCTGCTGTCCGAAGTGCTGGCTCAGCAGGACCCCTTTAGCCTGGCCATGGTCCCTCCAGCCCACAGATGAGAGGTGGCCCGTCTTGTCTGTCCCCCAAAG